CTGACCGACGTCGATTTTTTGAATTAGGTGTTAGTTTTTTGTCAAACTGAGGATTTTTAGAAAATCCGGAACGCTTTTTCGGGTTTCGCAGGCTGTTGGGTTGCCTGGAAAACGAATAAAGGCTTAATTGAAAAATCAGCGCCGGTCAGTCGATGTAGTTAGGTGTCTAGTTTAAAATAAAACAAACCCGAACTCTCCAGCTTGAAGTATATTAAAAAATCTTGGGACGCCATTCAGGGTCCTTTTTGGACCTTGATCTCTGGAAAACTCCTAAACCGTAAGACTTGGAAACAAAGAAAACTTTTCATTCCCGTAACTCATTGTGCCGAACATTTACGGAAAGTTTCGTCAGGATCGGATGTACGGTGCCGGAGATAATTTCTGAGGGGGGACCCTTAAGCTAATTTAATTTTTCGATATCTAACGGATTATATCAGACATTGTCACTTGGCGCTTCTGACGATGAAGCTATTTCATTCGATTACATTACTCGATTCTCTTTTTCCCTTTTCGCTCGTTTTTTTGAGAACTAGTATGAGACATCATTCATCAGACCAATCACGATCTGTCTGTTGTCCGTTATGTCAGGAAAAAACTCATGGCCGGTTTTGAATTATAAAAAAAACGTCTTCTTCCTTAAACAATACAAATCTTACTTTTCACAGTTGTTAGGCTCACGAGAGAACCTTTCGAGGTGATTAAATGCTTTTTGCTCGGAATCTAGTGGGTTATAAGTTATCGACCATGCTGATTATGAATATGACCATGGGGTTTGCCCTTAACCCTTCGAAGACCTGATTTTCTAGAAAACCAGTTTTTCAGAAACCCTAAAGTATAACCTGAATCTTTCTTAATGAGACATGATTGTAGCCCGCAAGTTTCTGATTAGAATGAGACATCTTCCAGCTTTACACGACCTTTCTTTGCAAACTTATAGAATTTACAAGAAAAGCCCTAAATTAATTTCTTCTTATTTTGTACAAGAACATGTGAAATCTTGTCTTGAATGTTCATCGGATAAGTGCTTTGTTTGCGTAATGAAACTGATGCTTGTCTTTTTTTAAAGATAAATTTAGTTGTAAGTACTCATTTTCTTGACCAGTACTTGTCAAGTAAAACCGCAAATGCTTCTACAAAGTGGTTTGCAGTAATAAAAACAAGTATTGTAATCTTGGAGTAGTACTCTCGTCAATCTTCGTGGCAAGTAAGTAATCTTGAAAACACCCGTCAACTTTTCCAAGTGCCTACTAAATACTAAACAAGTACTTGGACCAAGTACGCTCGCTAAGGTGTTGATCTACGTCTTGCAAGAAGTAACGACTCATCGTACCAGCAAAATAGAAAAAACAGTAATATCAGCTTGAATGTTCGGATGGATATCTTATAGGATCTTATGAATTCTTGTATTATGTTGTGAATTCTCGCAAGTTTATAGAACTTCTTATCACAAGATTTTGTGAAATCTTGTAATATTATCTCACAAGGTCTTGTATGATCTTATAAGATCACATTTTAAGATTCTTCATCCTGAATTAGATCAACAAATATCAGTCACTGTTGTATAATAACTGAGAAACATAACGTGGAGAGAACTTAGTCAATCTGGAGAGGAAATGCATTTTCGAACAAACACTATAGATTGTATCGAAACTTTACATTATAACAGTTGTGCAGTGCGACGAACCTAGGATCAAGTATGGAATAAAAGTAAAAAGGCAAAATATACAGATCTAATAGATGCTGTATAAAGCCTGCAATTTCCTTGTCCCGTGTTAGACATTATGTTATGAATTCTTGTATTATGTTGTGAATTCCCGCAAAGACGATAGCTACGCCACTACTATAGTGGCGTAGCTATCGTAGCGTGCAGGTCATATGTTATTAAATCTAAGATATAAGTACGGTGAGTATGAATGAAGCGGTAAACAATTTGCCCTTGTCATCCGATGATAGTGAACGTGTATACGTAAAAGCAACGCTCTATTTTTGCTATTTTTATTGCCAAGAATTTCATATGCACTGTAGACATAGACGTGAACCTAAACTATTCAAAAGAATTCTATTCATCTAATGAAATACGTATGTTTCTTATAAAACTGAAATCTTATGGTTATCCATTTCGAGCTGATATCTTAGTCTCAATGTTTGCGTCTCTTCTTACTCCAACACATATAACAGTTCATCAGAATTGGGTGTGTTTGAGGTACTAGACGACAAAGCACTATAGATTAATGACGTGACGATAACCGATCTGACCAACTTTGAACATAGATGTTTCTCTAAACCTGATTGGGAATGTTGGCGTACTTTGTTTTGCTCATCATATTTTGACTTTTCTAATCGAAAAATTCTACTAGTTATAGTAGTCAGTCAGCTTGCGCAAATTAATAATAGTTAATCGACAATACCCAAAACATTATCAAACTTAGAATATTTAAAAATGGGTTCGCATGTAGTGATGCTTCAATGTAAACATTTTACTCTCTTAATTGTACATCGGTCTATAAAGAAAAAGAATGTATAAAAAAGCAAAAGTTTATCGCTTTCATTTTCAAAGATCTGAACGATGACTAACAATTCTTCGGTCTTCAAAAAAGAAAAATGAGCCAAAAACATTTTAACACCTTAAAAGCAATAATTAAGACACTTGAATCCGAATAACAACTGAGTGGAAATTTGCTTACCAAACAGTGATAAGATTAAAACTGAGCCATTGTAACCATCGTCTTACTTACTCAAAACTTATAGCAAATAACCTTAAAAATGCCTGAGATCTCCCCTTCTGTTTCTGACCACATAACATTGCTCGAGCAAACGGAATTGCATTTATGAATATTTATTATTCTTACCACTAAATAATTACAAAAAGGAAAAATTTTTAATTAATTAATTCAGCAAAAAACAGAAAACATACACAGATATAACGTATCTTTCTCGCCGGACACTCATCTGTACAGTTCTCTTTTTTCATTGTACGAATACAACGCATGCGACAATAAATGAGATGAGAACTATAAAACTTTGATAAGTTGATGATACATGATTGGGTGGATGTTGATGTTCATCTGAAAACTGCGATTTTCCACGTTGTTGATTTAATGTTGCATCTGATTCATCTTGTACACTATCTATTGGATGAATATTCGAGGAAACATTTAACTGCTCATAATGCATATCACCACTAATTATTGCTGGATGAGATGATGTTAAATAGTCTCTAAAATGAGCATCATCACCACCATGTTTTGACGATATAATTGTATCCATTTTAGATTCTAGAAAAAGAATGTGCAAATAATATCTGGTTTAGAATTTCAAGACAAAATCTACCATAACAAGCAGTTGAAACGGGCGGACATTCGTCAATTGCATAATCTTTTGCTTTTAAATGTGTCAGATTACAGGTTTTATCTAATAATTCCAATGTTGAATTATTATTATTTGAATATTCAATTTCTTGAAAGTCCATTGGACGATAAACATCATGCCACTCTTCAAGAAAAACAATGTATGTTGTGCCAGCTGCCAGATCTTGACAATAATTACGCCCAGATGTAAAACCTATAATTAACAGATCATCGATAAAAACGATGGTCCTCTCACCAGAACGAAAATGGAAACTGAAGAAGTATTTTACATCTAATTCCCACCTGCTTGACTAATACTAATAGTATGATTTGTTGGTTTTCCTTTGAATATACAACTGACTTGAAATGTCACATTAAATTGATTCATTGCGTTTGGAAACATATTTTTTGTCATTGTTTCACCAAGAAGAACAATAGGTGAATCACGAACTTTTGTTAAAAAATCAACATTATCAACTTGACATTCTGGTGGACGACATGATACCATTAATATTAACAGTAATAAACCAAATAAAATAATGTAATTAGTTAACATTTTCAGTTAAATTTTGTTAAAACTTTGATGATAAATGAAAATAATAAAGAAAGATAAATAAGAAACGTTACGTTTACTTTTATGAAAGAAAACTATGAAGATATTTCTTTTATAGAATTTTGTTTTTTTGATCAGTTAATCTATTACTCGTCCGCCGCTAAATTTTGTGAATCTATTATATACACTAAAAAAGTTCCGTAATGTACAAAAGATCACATATAGGTGCAACAAAACATGATGTTTGATTCAGTTAGAGCTTCTTTTGATTCCTTGTCTGTAGATTTTCGAGGATGAATAAACAGCCAGGTAGAGAAAATGTAAAAGGCAAACGAATTCATAGAAATAAACGAATCCAGAATTGCCAACTGCAAGAACATATAGATCGGAATGAAGCTACTCAAAAAAGACCTGAAGAAAGATACAGAGTGGCCTAAAAATTAGTTTACCGAAATAGATATACATTATTATGTACATCTAATTTTTATTTACATCAAAATTAATAATTAAATAATAATTATTTGTTTACGTCACAATTATTAAGGTCAACATGCATTAGTCAAAATATCGAAAATTATCAAAACGATTAAACAATTGTCAAAAACTTGAGATACTCAGTTACACTTTATCTCGCTAAACTAACTTTTGGACCATCCTATATAGCAAAAATCGGAAGGACGATTGTTTTTGAGGTTACATTATGTTTTCCTTGCTTGGTTTACATTATATTTTCGTATAAGAGAAAATGAGAAATCTGAATGAATTACATACGGCTGAAAATCGAAAATACACCAGTACAATGCAATGTAAACAACTACAGATGGACTTCAGTAGTAGTGAAGTTTATATAATTTCGTAAATCTTTGCTGATGAAAAACTTTTCACACGCCCCGGCTGTCAACTGATCCTTTTCTGCGTAATAAAGGATAATGTGCGAACCTTGTGAAAAATATTGCTTCTGTGTTTTCGTTTTCCAACGAAAAATAGAGATCATCAAAAAGCAGAAACCATTCAAAGAAGTATTTCAGAATCAAATGGGACCTGCTTGAATCTGTTTTCAACATTGTATGCCAGAAAAACTTGTTTAAAAGGTCCACACTTACCTTCTTTTATTTCTTGCTTAGTTATGAGATGATTTTCGTTGTACGTGTCTGTTTGAATATGCCAGATATTGAATATATGAGAAAGTGAAAAAAATCGAATAGACGTATTCAAACTGGCCGAATGTTTAGATATCTACTATATATTATACGTACACTGTTTGTTCAATTTTGAAAGTTTTTTTCGTTTACATATCAGTTCAAAGAGCTCATCTTTTTATTTGGGCAGTCATGGAAATATGTGTGTACTTATCTCATAACCAGTCCGTCATGTGATAAAATATATCATTAAAGCGTAAGAGCTTATGCGACATACCGGTTTAGTCAATCTATTACTAAAAAGAATTATTTGCAGTATCGGTATTTACTAAAGTTATCAGTTTTGTTCCTTAAAGAGCAAAGTTTGGGGTGTTTAAGCGGAGTTGTGTTTACATGTTTTTTTGAAGTAATTTTCAATATTACTCATTTCCATCAACGAATTGCACAGTTAAATTAATCTATATTCTACGTCTTATGCTCGTGTATGACTATTTTCCTCGGTGAAAAAAATAACCAAAAGTTGTCAACATTAACTAAAATAAGCTGTCATTGGAGAATGCTGTGTCTCTTGATTTTTATTGCAGCATCAGTTACATACATTGTTATTCAACAAACTTAGAGTCATTTTTGTATGTATATATATATGAATTTATTTTTAAAATGTTCTTTGATGTTTGTTTGAGCAAACATTGAAAATAAAAATATTTCCAGAAACAAAAATATACCATAATTGCAAATACAGTTAGATCACACATCATTTCACTAATAACGTAAAAATAACACAATCATTTTTCACCGTAAACCACTTTCAGTATCAGCATTTGGTCTTGGACGTAAGGGGAATGAATCAGAATTACGCATATATCGTGAAGGTATTTCGTCATAACGTGATTTTGAAAGGGTATTATCACGATCTCCGCCACCTCCATAACGAGAGTGTGTAGACATACTATTGTAATGGTTGTTGTCAAAATAGTTTTCCTCATCACTACCTGCCCTATTTTGTTTTGTAGACGAACCACGATATTCACTGTTGAGATTTATTTTTTCTTTTCCATACCACATGTCGCCTTCATCGTCATCCATATTAGGCTTTTGACGAGCAGAATTCATCAACGATCGATTATTCATTGATGGCAAAACCAAAGGTGACAAACGTGATTGAGAATTATTATTTTTATTGGTACTACTACTATTATTATAAGTCCGATTATACTCATTCATGTTATTTGTATATTTTTTATCATCATCATACACTTTTCTTGTGTAATTATCACTAAATTTTGAACCAATATTTGCTTGGTTACTAAATTTATTTCGATCTTGAGTATCATCGTCTGAGAATTCATTTAACGATCTCATCGGTGGTTTTTTAGTTAGCGTATTTGAAGAGTAACTGCTTGTCTTGTTTATACCTACTTCAACATCATCATCGTCACTTAAAGGCTGGTTATTTCTCGAAGAAGAGTATGTTTTTAATTTGTTAGAAAATTGATGGTTCTTTTCGTCACTATCACTGTCTGTTTTAAATCTACTTCCTGATGTTGTGTGGGGTCGCTTTGCTGATCCCGTTGTCCAATTTGTTTTTGTGCCTATTACTGATGTTGTTGACGATGGTTTTTTGACATCGTAGACCGGACTTTTATTTCGATCAAAACGTGAATAGGATGGTGAACTTCTAAAATCGTCATTGTTGTTTGTACGAGTATTTGTTGTTAACCTTGAATGTGATGGATAATCTTCATTGTCACTTGCTGTTGTTGTCATTTTTTTGTTTTTATCAGTATTTGTAGTGGACCACGAACCTGCATTAGTGCCTGATGAACCAGCGTGTAAAGACGTTTTGGGAACAAAAGAAGTTTCAGCAAATTCTTCGTAAGGGGAACGAAATGACTTTGTTTCGACTGGTGTACGCGATGAGGAAGGAAGATGTTCCGAGGGATATAGTTTGTTTTTCCCAATAAATTTTTTCTTTTTTGAAGATTTTGTTGCTGATTCGTTTGAACTAAAATGATCGGCACTTCCGTCTTCACTTCTATTTCGTCGATATGTATCCCTTTCTACATCAGAGCCATATCTTTGCCTAGTCGTACTCATGGAACGATGTCGATGGGAGTCTTCTTCGTCACTGTTTGATCGATCGCTATATTGTGTGTGTGATGTTGAACGCAATGGATTTATTGGTGGTAATCTGCTCAAGTGTTTTCCAGAAGTATTCTAGGGTTTAAGAAAATGCATATAATGTTTTGTGACTTGAATACTCCTCTAGTTTAGCGTAGCAAGTAATAAAAATGATGCTTTTATCATCACTTACTTCCGCATTTTTGACTGCTTGAGAACCAAGGGGCCTTCGTTTACTCACATATTCGTCCGTTTCATCGAATTCTTGATCACTTTTCTTGTCATAATGATCTCCATGAATTTTTCTTCCACGATCGAGATGTCCTTGTTTATTTTTTCCTTCATTGGTATCTCTTTTTTTCACATGATTTTCCACTTCCCTATATAATCCATCATCAATTAGTGGAAATGCTAACCATTAGAGAATGACTCGAGATTGCTCGAGTCAGTTTTGGGGGCGATTCGGACTCGTATCAAACTTGAAAAAGTTGTATCTCACCCGTTCTAATGTATAGTATTAGACATTTGTTATTATAACTAGCATCGAACAAACAGTTCAACTTCTGGTACTAATCTAAACTACCTAACAAAAGTGAAAAATCAGATGTTTCTAATGAGATAACAATTGAAGTCTCTACTTCATATAGAACGTAAAATGACTGAATGGATTCTCTATAACTTCTGACCTTGAAAGTCATTGTAGTCGGCCTTCAAGTCTGAAGGAGCTTTTGCCTTTAGCAACTCTACGAATGAAGGCAATTGTTTTTTCAGTTCTAAAGATTCGAATGAAGAATGGAAATTATGATTTTCGTTTCTTATGTAAACAATATGAGTAACACTCATGGAGTTCTGTGCAAGCATAGCAAAAAGCTCATTTGCTAATTTGCATCATGTCTGACATTAACACGGGGCCTTTCTCGTGAAGTCTTCACCGGAGAGTTGGATAAGCGCAAATGGATGTGTATCTCAGAAGGTGATGGAACTGTATAGACAGAAAAACCGAGATCAAACAATCCTACCGTAGGATCCCACAAGATCCTACGAAAATCTTTTAGGATTTTGTAGGAAAATCTCAAAGCCAAAAAATTCTACTGTAAGATTCTTATAGGATCCTGTAGTAAGATCTTGTAGAATCTTACAGGGTCCTACTATATGATTGCAGTAGGATTTTATCTGATTTTCTGCTGGTTTATCCTACTAGGTTATTGTTTTTATCTGTTTAATTATTCACTAATCCCAGCTCTGAGCTGGGATAAACCTAAGACTTGTGAGTATTGACTCGCACGCCATCGAGTAGTGAGTTTCGATGGCTCACAGTGTTCGGTGCGAAAATTTGAGCGAAAAAAGAATGTTTCATTTTCTACAGCAGAGTTGTATTTATTTAGAGTTACTGTAAAACACGTTGGTGATTGTACTCTTGCATAGAAAAAGAAAAAAATATATACAGAACGAAAAAATAGAAATTCTACAAAATCCTACATTTACTTGATCTGTCTCTGTCCATTACTCTAGTTTTCTTTTGTCAAATTGTCTTTACTCTTTTACTGGCTTGAGTCATTCAGGTCGGGGACCTTTTAAGACTCTCACTTTTCGTGAATAAATACTACTACTACTACTACTAGTGCTAGGAAAGGTAGTTTAGTAAACTTGAAATGATTTTCAAGATCTACTATAGGATTTTCCAAGAAATGCATGTAATCCCTATTATAGGAATTCGATAGGATTTTTGCTACCGTTCTATATCTAGAATCCTACGGAATTCCTGCGGTAGGATTTCATAGGACTCTGCAAAAGGAATCCTATAAAATCCTATTATCAGTAGGATTCTAATAGGATTGCTTGACCTGAGAATGAAAATTCGCACCTATGCACCTATGTCGTAAAGATAACATTTGTTTACTTTAAAGTAGGAATGAGTCATATTGTGTATAGGAATAGAAAAAACCGCACCAAAATCTTGACTGGAAATCCACATCGTTGTGGTACACTTTCTCGAGTTCTTACTTTATACTTTTTCCTTTGCAAGGTACGCTTCCCATATTGAATTATGCGATTAACGAAAATTATTACAAATAATCTTTCTTCTTGTTTCTGCAACTAGTAGCCATGAATGCACCACTGTTCATGGTTGTTGTTCTAAGAAGAACCTTAAAAACTTTAAAAAGTATCTCATACATAAATTACCATGGATTTAAAGAAGTCGCACAATGAACTTTAAAAGCAAACAGTTTTCAATTAAATAAGTACGAGTGGAATAACGGCAGATGTCACTTGTAGCGCGTTCTATCCTGGTATCTAGCCTCGAAATCTCTTGAACGACGATCGCAGCCAATAAAACCAGAGATGATCGAACTCTTAAACCCGTTTTCTATTTGTCTACTTTCACATCTCATGTTCGAAAGGATAGTTTTAGTAGAGTTTCGAGAAGCTGTCACTATCTCATTTTCAGATTGATAAAATTATGAAGAAAAAAGCTTCCAGTGATCGACGAAAGCGTCCGTCTCAACAAACAAAGAAAAATCCTAAAAAACAAAACGGCATCAGTAGCAAGGTATCGAAACAAGAAAAGAAATTTCATCGTAAAGTTAAATTTAATCTTCCATTAAGCAAAAATCCATATAAAACTAAACAAGAAAAATATCAAGGGAAAAATGAACGTAACCCCTTCAAGGATCCATCTAGCACCGATGATGTTACAGAAGAAGACGATGCAATTTTACCGTTAGATATGGAAGATATGCTTGACGGCAGCGATCACGATGATAAAACTGAACAAAACGGGGAAAATAAGATTATTTCTGAAGATGAGGGATTTATGACAACAGACGACGAAGACGATGCAGAAATGTACGAACGTCGTCCTCGTCTATCATTCGGTGCGAATAACAACAATTCTGACATCGTAATGCGCCAATTATTACCTCTTAAAACTAATCAAGGAAAGTTTATAACACAATCGGTATCTTTAACGTCGACTTCTCCCGTAGATGATAGTGAAAAGGAAACAGAAAAATCGAGTGATGACGAAGCATTGGTGCCTGAACAAAAAGAACAACAAAAGCCTCCTTTATCTCTAGTCGAATTGTTAGCTGAACGTGAAAAGAAACTAAATGAATGCAAACAAATAATTGTTCATCTATGTGATTTGATAATGAAAAATCCGTATGAAGAAATAAGTAAATTGAAACAGTTACGTTTACTATTAAATAATGGTGACCCATTAATATCCATTACGATACGAAAATTGACCATGTTATCGTTAGTCGAATTATTTAAAGATATTGTACCGGGCTATAGAATAAAATCGTTGAAAGAAAATATTAAAGATGAAAATGAGAAAATAAAATCCAAAAAGAAAGACACAACAAAAGGCGAATCATTATCAAAAGATGTTAAACAAATACGAAATTTTGAACAAACATTATTAAAAAATTATCAACAATTTTTACATTTTCTTGAACAATGTGCAAAGAAAAATCTAGCAAAGAAAAACAAGAAGCAACAAGACAAAATAAAGGATGAAGAGATGAAAGAGGAGGAGGAGGATAAGAATGAAAAAAATGAATATCGAAAGTCAAAATTATCTGTTGGACATTTAGCTGTTCAATGTTTATGTAAACTATTATCAAATTTATCACATTTTAATTTTCGATCAAATTTACTCAATGTGACTATACAATTAATGTCAAATAGGTTAGTTACAATCGCGAACTTGTCGGATCATGAAACCTAACTTTTAAGTATCATTGCGTTTTGTGTCATTTTAGTGATAAAGAAGTTGTTCAAATGTGTTGTTCCTGTGTATCCGAACTTTTGGTTTCTGATAAAACTGGTGAACTATCGTTAGAAACTGTTCGTTTTATGACAAAAATGTTAAAAACTCAATCGTATGCTGTTCATTCATGTGTACTCGATGTATTTTTATCATTGAACATCAAAGAAATATCAGAAGATGAAAAAGAAGTAAAACCAAAATATCGAGATCAAAAACATTCACGTCGTGATCGTAAACGTCATAAAGAAACAGAAGAATTAAATAAGCAATTAGAAGAAAAAACGTTACCCGTACGTCAACAACAACGTTTAAAATTAAATCGTCAAATTATTGAACTATTATTTTTAAATTATTTTCGACTATTAAAACGTCGTCTTAATTTGAAATTAATGTCAAGCGTTTGTGAAGGTTTAGCAAAATATTCAAATTTAATTAATATTGAATATATGGATGATCTCATAACGTGTTTTTATGATTTAATTCAAATTGAAAATGTTCTTAATCGTCGTGCCAAATTTCATTGTCTAATAACAGTATTTTCTATTCTAAATAAACAAGCGGTATTAATTAATATTGATCCACAACGATTTTATACTGTATTTTATTCATTATTGACAAGTACTTCATCAACTAGTAATAATGATGATATTGATTTGATCATACATTTGATACGATTAATGTTAATTGATAGATGGAAACAATTATCAAAACCAAAATTATTAGCCTTTATTAAACGTTTAACAACAATGTGTTTACATTTAACATGTTCCTATTCAATATCGGCTATATTTGAAATGATTAAAGCTTTGTTAACTGTATCACCGCAAACAACGGATATGTTATATGAAAATGAACTAACTGGATCAGGTGTTCATTATCTAGCAGAAGTAAATGATCCAGAATATTGTCATGCACAAAATTCTGCATTATATGAATTATATTTAATTAATAAATTTTATGATACAAACACAAGACATCAATGTGAACAGTTGATAAAAACAAAATTTAATGATCCAAACATAATGAAAATGTGTGATACAACTGCCTATGGATATTTAGACAAAAAACAAAAAGTATTATCATCGATAATAAGAAGTTAAGTTTTCGTTTCTTTTTTTTGTTATTTGTTAAACTTAAAACATATCTGATAGAAAAAAAATAATAACAAACGGTAGACATTAACTGGTTTATTATCTTATTGAAACTTATGTATGCTTTTCGTATAGAATCTCTGTTTCGAAAAAGAAATAAAAATAGATGGGAAATATCTGAAAATTCATTAATCCAAAGTGTTTTCTTTTTTTATTTATTCCAAAAGATAGTCAGCTTTATTTGACAAGAAATTTTTTGTTTTATAAATCAAATTTTGCTCGTATATAAGAAAGTTTTTGATGAGTATCTAATGTGGATATAATTTGTTGACGATTTAATCGTTTAGCATATGTTTGTGGAGTTTCACCATTGTATGTAATGTATGTTACACCTGATAATTCATTCTCAAGTATATGCCATAATTGAAGGCAATTATTGGTATCAATAGCATTGAACATTCTCAATACTGGATTATCACTGTTATTGTTGTTGTTGTTATTGTACATTTACGCTAGATTAAAAAAATAAATCAATGGTTTACAATAAAACTATTTTAGAATAGTGACTAAAATTTAGTTATCGGAAGAAATTTAAGGTTCTTCTATTTCGGCTATTGTTAGAATATAAATCTAACTGAAATGATTGAAATGAACGTCCTTCTGTCTTTAGCGTGTCAGCCACATTTAAAAGTATGTTGAGAGATCATGCAAACTTTTAATAATTTCATACATAATCACAAAATGTATGACTGATATTTATTTTACTTTTCTCTCTATGTATAGAAGAGGTTCTTCTTGGATTAAAACTTTTAGTTTTAGATTATTACAGTGTATCCACGGATGGCACAAGTCTTTTGTATTTTTTTTTGTGATATCCTACCTTTGCGTAAATAAAATTCATTCATTCATTCAACTGACCTTGTCATAAACATCATTTTAGACTAAAATAAAATTTGCTAATTTTCTGGAAGACTGACTGAAAAAAGACTATGATGTCAAGTGGATTGTAAGACGTGAACAGGTGAATGATAAAGACGTTTGTCTTTGTTATTATAATTCGGTAGGGTAAAAAATGTGTATATAGATTATGAATCTTTTCTTTTTGCATGAAAGGTCTTACTTACCTGTATCGTATTTTTGATGTTTCTGGTCACTTAATTCGACGTTTATGCATAATATATAATCAAATAATGTATATTATTATATTTTAAAATGAATATTTTTAATACGGTTACTAATCGTTCTTGAAGTGTAATTTACCTGGTTATGAAATTGACTTTCAAATAGGTATAAATGCCATCCTATCAATAATTTATGAAGGTTAATGATACTCTTAATATTAGACTGTAAAAAAGTTTTTGTCACACAATAATAGTGAGTGTGTATATTTGTCTCAAAATGGCCTTGCGCTGTTGCCTATTGCCCCCATTGCTGTGCCTAGAGAAAAAATCAGGAAAGTTATGAATTTTTTTGACTGTTTTGTTTTGGAAGTGTTTGGTTACTGTGATGACATTTTCACAATATATTTGAACTGTTATAAATCCCAGAATACAAATAGAAACTTTTGACAAAAAATTTCTAATTGTTTTTTTGACAGAACATACATAAACATAGAGATGTGCACGAATACGATTTTCATACCCGTACCCAATCTTTGGGTCAGGTCGGGATGCACATCTCTAATACAAAATTATTCAAGGTTTAAGAGTTCGCTCAGAAAGATAACGGAGTATTTTTGAATGTATACTAAACACAGTTATCTTAAAAGGCATATGAGAATCTTTTTATGAATATTAGTGCAACTATACATTATTCTAAAAGATTCGAGATACATCGATTAACCAAGGATAAAATTTCAATAGAATTCAATAGAATATTATATACTGTACAAACAAAGATCGCAATCCTTACAGAATTATACAAAACATAAACATCTTTTTCCCTAGAATTCTATACAATTTTATGTACTAATAACCACTCTGTTATCCAAAGAATAAAAGTTGGCAAATTACTGAATTATAGGAAAATGACTTCTACAAAACTCTAGATAACACAATGATTTTTTATAAACAGGTACTGCTCATCTGTCGAATTGCAGCTCCATTAACTGCACTAAGATTGCTTGCGAGACCTAAAAGTCTACTCTGTAAAAAAAGGTTTGTGTACGAAACATAAAAGGGTATAGAGAAAGGCAACCATTTCTAAATCCTTTTAAATTTTGTAGAAGAAAAGTTACGGTACAAAACCATTTAAGTGCATAAAAATTCTATCAGACTTTTTCTAAAATTATTTTTCTGAGCAAGTGGACCATTTCAGCAGCTTAGAGGTGCTTTCATAGTATACGGCGGCGAAAATTGACCCCAAAAATATCTGAAACTTCTGTAGTTTTTGATTTTTTGTCAGTAAACCGAGGAAAAAGCGTAACGAAATAAGCAAATGCACTGATCAATCGTTTCAGTGCACTCGGAATAGTTTCGTACCGTACCTTTTCTTCTACGAAACCTAAACGGGTTTAGAAATGGTTGCACTTTTCTATACTCTTTTAGGTTTCGTACACAAACCTTTTTTTTAAGGAGTAGGATACGCTGAACTCGTTCTAGCCTGTACGTATTTAGTCAGCTTCAATGATAATCAATGTCTTTTTGAGTAAGTTTCAGAATGACCTCACGAAGTTTCTAATCCAATAATAGCCTTTCAGTATAATGTCAAGAGTTTCTATAATGCAATGCTAACAGACAGATAGATAGGCAAATCGATAACGAAAATTAGTATTCAAGCTACAAGATTATTTCCTTACAGTCAATGGAATTGTGTTACGATTAATATGTAATAGAAACTTACTTACATGCAGTTTCTCGGCTCCGTCCATCATATCTCACACATTTCAGCTCAGATCTATCATTGATCTACCGCTAAATTAATTCTAATCATATGAATGACTAATTCCTGATCTTATATCTGTAGAAAATAACTAGAATCAAAAACATATTATCAGGTTAGTGTATTACATTACGTATAAATAGGCAAATACAAGCAGAAATGCACACAGTTATGTTATTCACAATGTGTTTGAACCGTTATAAATCCCAGAATATAAATAGAAACTTTTAACAAAAAATTTCTAATTGTATTTTTGACAGAACATACAGAATAGAGATGTGCATGGCTACAATTTTCATACTTGTACCCGACAACTTCGAATCCGTACCCAACCTTCGGTTCGGGTAACACGACCATTTTTCTGGCCAGATAATTAATTGTCAGATGATATTCAGCCGAGTGCACTGGGGCTGTACTCAGAACAGCGTAGAAAGAAGAGAATCGTATATGTGTACTCCATCGAGAACAGACTGCACAGTTTACTTAATGTTGATTCTGGTCGAGTTTCATTCAGTCGACTTACCAACCTTCCCGAAGGGCAGTTGGCTTCTAGCTATCATTGTATCACGCCGTAGATATTCTCATCCGTCTCAGTTCATAATGTACTCTTTCAATGACAAAACATGGAAAACCATTGTGTACGTAAATCATAATCAAGCCAAGACGTTAATGGTATTTATAGATATTGGCAATTGTTAAATGCTTCGTATTGACTAGAGTTCAGAAAAACTTGACAAATAGCTTTCTTAGAGTTTTTCTTTATCAAATAAAGATTTGACTTGAAGGCACACTTTATTTTATTTTTAAAAATGTTGTAAGCGTTTATGGATGAGTGAAAGTTTCACAGAGATGTCATCTCTATCAGTTAGTTCGAAATTGAGGTACGAATATTCTGCAGTTGCCCTATATAGTGTTGATTAACAACAAATAACGTTTTTTTCCTTCTATAGACACACAAGTAACATCAAAATAAGTAGATTTATTATTAACTCAAGATGGAAAAGATATTTTAGTTTATATAAAAGTGTATTAGGTTGCCGTTGACGGTTATTTATATTAAGAGATTAATAAATGTGCATGAGTGCCAAAATAACAACTATTGAAAATTATTGGTTTATTAATAAATGAAAAAGCTATTTCCTCTCATTTTATGTAATTTGTATTTGTAACAATGAATGAATGTAAATGTATATCAGTCTAACCGAATAAATTCTTAATAATTAAATGAGATTTATTTGTTACAAGGGTTATCTCTTCTGGTTAAAAAAAATTTTCAATGGTTGCTTGTATGCCATCCGTTAAGATTTTTTCTGTTTTTTGTTTAAAAAGTTTATATATATATATATATGTTTTTTTTTTTGTTCACAACCGATATATATATTTCAGAACATATTTAGATACAAAAACAAACAGTTCTATAAACAGTTTACAAACTACCATCAAAGTCTTTTGGTAGATTTTCATACTTGTTTTTACACATAATTATCTTAGCAATAAACGTATTTCCATTATCAATATCTTGTGATACTGTACTATCATAATTTTGTGTTATTGTTCCACCATTTCCTCCATCCATATAACCACTAGTGGTAGTAATAGGAGCTGTATTTGTTACTTGAGCATTTCTATTTCGTCCTTGAGTTGTTTTATCTTTTGATAATAATTTAATAGCGGCATTACAAAATTCTTCACGAAATCTTCTATTTGTTAATACGTATAAGAAAAAATTGGACGAAAAAAATGTTATTTGAAGAATATCAAGTAATTGATGAACAAAATTTCTTGAACAAAGATCTGGCATACGTTGAACAATAAACGTTGTATAAATATTAAAGGGTAAATTCATAAATAGAAACAAAATATTTAATGCAATTAACATAGCACTTAAATGAAAATCTCTGGTTCGACGGTATTTCATTTGTTTAGTTTCAAGTGCTTTTGTTAATGTTGTTGTAACAGTTGTTTGATCTTGATTTAATTGTTCAGTTTCCAATTCAAATTGTATTAAACTATTTTTTTTTGCTCGACAAATACTTAAACGCATTTGATTTTGTTTTCGACATTGCCATAAACAACAGAAACAAGGATGAACAGTCGATGATGCTGATGTTAATGATAATTTTGGTGCATCTACAACAACAATTGACGGTTTTGAACGATAGCGTTTTGCTGTTTGCATACGCAAACGTAAACTTCGTACAATGATGATTGTACAAATAACATTTATAAATAATGGAATACAAAAAAAAACAATTAATTCAAATGGTGGATAAAATGAATGTAAAAAATATAAATAAAATGTTGATGTACGATTCTCATCATAACTACATAGTGTACGTTTACCATTCAAACCTAGAATTTATTAAAAAAGAATGTTCTATTACTTGATAAATTCTTTAAGAACAGATTTGTTTTTGTTTAGAAAAAGAAAAAATGCTCATGGAACAGATACTCAACAGTGGGAAGTGTTGAAATGATTAGTAATGGTTTCATCTTTTACCTTTGTTTTAACTTTTAGTGAATCTTAAAATTACAAAAATACGAATCAATTTCATTGCTGACAACTAAATAAAAGTTCTAATTGTAATGCTATTTCTGTTACTACTTTATATCTCTTTTATACCTGGTACATGTCCAAATTTGAGTAACCAATGTAAATGGATTAGACATAATACACTGGCCAAAATCGATTCTTTCAATAAAACTGTTCTAAATTCTGATTTTTTAAATTTTTCATTACGTTTTGTTATTGTTACAGTTCTTGCTCGATCAATATTTACGGCTATTAATGTAAATAAACTAAAATGTGTTAACGCATCTAATCCAAAACGATAAAATCGACAAAAAAATAATGGCCCTGTTTCAGCAGTTAATTTCCAATAAAATGCAAACATATATTGGCTAAATCTTACAATTGATAAAAGAGCATTAGATAATGATAAAAATGCCAAATATGCAAATGTTGAATGACGACGTAATGATTTTTGCATCAAAACGCTAAATGCAAGAAAATTTGATATTGAACCAAATAAAAATATTGAATAATTATGAATATATAATACAGGACGTAGAATTTGTCGTAAATTTGGACATGGATTATCATTATTGGTAAATAAATCTGTTATATTTCTCGTTTCATTCATATTTGTTATTGTTTAGGTAATAATTTCGGAATAAATTGTTGATCATATCTGTCACAATGTGAAAATATATATGAAAAATAATTATATATATTTAATTTCTAAAAGAAGAAATAATATTGAAGAGAGATCTTTTTGTCTGGTACTTTTAAGAAAACTGTAACGAAATAATAGTCTAGAAGAAAACGGAAACAATTTTTGAAATTAAATATTTAGTGAGACTTAGAGAACAGGAAATTTAAGTTATGAAAAATAGTTAATGAGATAACACACGCATACCTTTCATAGTGTAATATTTCTATTATAAGTCTTTTTACTAGTTACATAGTAAAACTATTTAAAACCAGTGATAAAATGTTTGTAAACATTTATGACCTTTTTTTTGTTGCATAAAGAAACTGTTCTCTAAATGATTATCCATTTTAATTCTTTCCAACTTGACTTGATTATGGTTAGTAATGATAATTACTCTAGTAGAACGATAATCGTTCTAGCACATTTTATCATATCGAGAAAAAGAGCAGTAGAAAATACAGATTGTATTTTTCTTTTTTTCCCCTTTCTTTCGCTTAGAAATCAATTTTAGCCTTGCAATAAATCTCTTTTTTCTAATTTAGCTTATTTTTCAATGATGAATAAAAGTGAGAGAAGATTTTATTTTCAAATTCATCTTAATAAAACACCATTCAAGATAGCTTGAAACTAGTCCATAATTTTGGAAATAATTCATATGGCATACGTATTAAATGTTCCACTCTCCAGCCAATCATAAAGATTTTTTGCTACCTTTTTAAACTTTGAAACAAAGATTAGTTATATTTCGAATAGATGTCTGAAATTTTATTACCTTCTGAAAGATTGTTTTTGCCATCACTACACTTAGAATAAAACAATATTCAATTAAATGTTTATTTTAATGAATAATATACTTTAATTTAACGCCGTGTAACATAACTTCTCTTGTACAAACGATGGTTTTTAAGAAAGGAAATGGATTATTAATGCAAAAAAAAATCTGACAGATACATCTGTTTTCTGTTAGATAAAGATAACAAGTGCTTTTACGTCACTTATTTAGGGCAGAAGTTTGAAAGAAAATAAAAGATTGCGTTGGGTCAATGTAAATATAATTACTGATCTGGATATAATCTTTCTCGTTTTCAACACCTCTGTAGAACGACGCAAACAGAGATGATAATACAAGTAGGTGACATATTTTTCTGTTTAACAGGCGATGATAAATTCCTTAAAAATGAACGGCTTTCATCAGCAACCCCGCTGAAATTGCGTCATAGTTTAAGGGGAATCTTTAGATCGCTAAATATGCGCAAAAATGATCAAACTCTTATAAAATCAAGTCAAAACTAAATAAAAGTCTATGTAATCGATGTGCCGCTTCTAGCTCTGCTTAATGAGCTGACTTTCAAAACCTTGTGACATTAGAAAAAGGAATTTTCAACAAAGATTTCCCACTTATCTAAACTTTAGAAAAAACCTTTTAGCTAGCAAAAATTTCACAGAATTTTCAGCTCTTTCAAAAGTGATCAGCCACAAGGAAATGCTCTGTTTATGATAAACGACGTCGAGTATATGAGAAATGTATGTCATTTCTCGCTCTACAATCTCACTAAACGAAATAGTACATACTCAAAGTATGAAAAACGTGAAAAAGCGCTGTTAAAAACTACCCCTTTTCTATAGTCAAATGTTAACAAATTCCAATGAAAATCGGCTCATCGAGCAGAGCTTGAAGCGAAAAATCCACTGCATAGGCTTTTATGTAGTTTTGACCTAATTTTGTATGAAAGTGAATATCGATCTTATACTCGAAATCGTTCTTAATCTCTCATACAAAATATAAATAGTATCTTCAAAAATGAACATGATATATGACTTGTGATAATTACTTAACTTATATGATAAATCGTGAAACGTCATTGACGCTTTTCTTTTTCTTGATATAAAAACTCAAAATTATAGGTAAAAATTTTGAGATTTTTAACTTGAATAGGTATGTAATTATGTTGATGTAAACTTATTTAGATGATGTCACATAAAAGAGTTGATAATCGAAAAGAACGTGAAAATAACTTCATGAGGTATTAATACTTTCGGACCGAATTCTAACGAAAGGAGAATCTTTCCAATATATACTATCCA